ATATATATATATATATATATATATATATATATATATATATATATATATATACATATATATATAAACTAGTTTCATACGTAGTTGCGGCTATGGTAGTGCTGGTGCGAGTGTTAAACAAAATGAGAAGAAACGGAGTTAAAGTGAAAACGTCACTGGCAGGGCAACTGGTGTAAGCGGCAAACATTTGTTATTTTTTCATCTTTTATTTCTAAAAAATAATCATACAATGCATATCCGCGGAATAAACAATTGTCTAACGTATTTTAGTTGAATAAGCAACTGCTTTCTATTTACGGTTTCACTTCAGCTGAACGCCGCGTTGCTTCGACGCTGCTGGGCGAGTTCAGACCCTGACGGCTGCGCGTGTAGAAAAACTTTAATTTTTAGTTAAAAAATGCAACTAAATAAGAGCATTTGTGTTTGGTTTTTGCCTTTCACTGAACCCAGGGCTGCGCTTGTGGAGGAATCCGCCGTCTAAATGGGAGAAAATGCACCTACATTACATTATTTATACAGTTTTTAATTGTCTATTCTTTTACTGAATAGCATATGAAACTGGTGTTGGTGCTATCACCACCGGACCACCTGTGTAGGCGCCGACAGTACGCAGAGTATAAGAGAAACACCGACGTGAATACGCCCCCTACGAGGCAAACACAGATCTTAAACCCCGTATATATATTAAATAAACAATTTAAAATGATTAATATCCGGCGAAACAAAAGCATGAAACAGCACATGGCAGACAAACACAGTAGGCCGGCGGCGGCGCCTCCATCGCTCGTTGGGGTCCGGTGGACCTTTTTGTCCTCTTTTGGTTTCAACAAGTGCCGATTAAAATTCTTTCTTGAAACATATTCAACTTATATTTTTAAGTGTTAATTTTAAAAAATATATTTCACTATTCGGAGGGAGAAGGCAGTGCGTATGCCGCTCTGGCTCAACGCCATCGGCACGGAGAACGTGAATCAACGCCGAGCCAGTGTCAGCTGTCTCGATACGCCGGCAAGCGATATGCTGGAAACGAGACACAAATGATATTCATTTTTGTTTGAATATAATTTTAATTGAATATCATCAACGGGAAATAGTCCAAAAGGGGAAAGCAGAAGCTGAACGCCATGAAACTGCAGGCGCTGCCGCTTCTCGCCGCCGTGGCGCTGGGAGCACTTTCCCTTCTTTTGCCGGTTTCTTCTCTTCAGATGAGAAGAAAACCTTTTTATAATTCTCAGCAGACGTTTATCAATCAAGAGGACGACAGAAGGCTGCAGGATTCCGCTGATTCAGAAAACACCGCTGCGGTGTATGCGCAGCTCCAGCCGCCGGCAACCAACGAAACCGCAGGAGAACGCGTCATAAATGTTGCAGATGAACACCAAAATGAAAGTCTTGTTCAGCTTTTTGGCACCAGTAAATATGTTAAGAAGCTTAAGGAGGAATACAAAGAGCTCAAGAAGCGATATAAGAAGTTGCATTCAAGTAACGACTACAAAAAATTCAAATACGAGACGATGATAACTGCACTACAACGGGCACTAGGGCTCCCGTAAGTCTTTTTAATACCCCTAAACATCTTACTCTTTGTTTAAGAATATTTTCTTAGCTTGTTGCGTGTGTTTACAGCTCAACCGCAGCAGCTCGTTTCTGCTTCTCTTTGCTCTGTGCTTGTTGAATTTTCAGGGTCACTCACCGCACTCGTCTTTGAATCAGCTTCACCAACTTTACCCGGCTCACGGCTTGTTGACGCCTCACAAGCTGCTGGCCGCTCTA